TAAGTCTTATATGATCTGTGACTCTTGAGTGGGGGATGTGGATAGTCAATAAATTCCGGCGCTCGACCTTCACCATTAGGACCAGATGATGGTACCGAGCTACCCGATGTCACCTCTTGGAACGGTCGCTGGCTAAGTGAAAGCCCCATATTAACATCAAAAGAGCGACTATCCTCGATCCTGAAGGGAAAAGTAAGAATGGATAGCGAGACGGGACGTTTTAGTTGTCGCTTGAGAATAGCTTGCTCCATCGCGTCAAGGTAGAAAAGCAACATGACTGAGACTCTCTAGGAGTCAATGATGGAATGGCCAAATGCCTCGTCACCTAATTAGTGACCAGGTGTAATAAAAAAGGACATTCCCGAGTACTGTGGGGATAGGCGCATTGGTTCTGGAATTCTTTCATAAGTGCAGCATCCCGAAATGCATTACCATGTTTGGTTCTAGATGCAGCCAAATTTCACCGCTGATGTAAAATAATGTTTACTCAGTTATTACTCATATATTATGCAATATTATTATAAACTATAAATCAATGAATTAACCTTTTTCTTCTCATGCGTGCAAGCCAGTTTTTAGTTACAGCACCTAAATGAAAATGATAGTTGCTTAGATATTACAAGTTGTGTTGCTAAAATATTAAAATTTTAAAACATTAAGTCAAGTTCTGAAGACTAAACTCAGGACGGAGTGTATATATTGAGGAGTTAAGGGCAAGGGAAATTATAAAGAATATTTAAAAGATACGGATAAATACGGATAAACAAATATAATTTCTGATGTAATTTGTAATGACCTCTACAAATGACACTTTAAATGTAACTCTCCAAAGAGCTTTCGTTACAGCTAAATTTTGAGTCTAAATTCTGTCCAAAATCCACCAGAAACCTTCCAAATTACATTTCATATCACAATTCACTCTAAACAAATCAACTTATTTAAATCAACTTTGAATATATATTTCGGCTTTTAAAAGGTCTTCGAAGTAGTTTATTTGTATGTTTTCATTTTCTTGGGGTTCCCGGCTAAGAAACAAAATGGCGGCAGTCGGCGGCTTCCAATAGCGTATCTTCAAAGTCTAATTTCTACCGGAAAGCTACCACTCAGAATGTCCGGCAAGACATTTTTGGAAAGGTAATTAGATAATCTTTCATTTAGGATCAGTCTCGTTAATTCTCCTGAGATGAGTATTAGAACCCTCTTAGGTGATGGACTAATATGCAATGTCATTTTCTAGGCTTTCACATGAAACT